TAATCGGTACGAAGAAGAGAAAAATAAAAAATAGCTTCGGTTTTTTCCTCTCATCTTTACTGCATAATATTACTAGTAGTAAAACTCCTACTAGTAGTATACAAACTTTGAGCAGTTGTGTAACTTTATCAAAAATTCTACTATTTTAATTTTTCAATGTACTACGTACTAGTAGTAGTACTAGTCCCACCACAACTATTAGTACGTACACCATTTTTTCATGAGAATTCTGAATACACTTATATTTTCAGTAGCAAATGGATTTTTCAATATTATTATTACTAGTAGTATTAGTAGTAGTCGTAGTCGTACCACCACCACCACCACCACGTCACACCAGCTTGTTCTTGACGGATTTGAAATGAAGAGGTCCCGTCATTTTTACTACTAGTAGTAGTACCAGTAGCTCCTTCAGGTGGTGGCATATTAGTATAACTAATATATCAARTGTATCAAGGGCATGACAAGAACTCCACYAAGGCTTCACCATCATGGAGGAGGAGGAAGACAAGAACCCCAGCGGTCCACCATACTGCCCAGATTGCATTTAATATGATTCAATGCTCTATCAGCATAATTTTTGCATCTATTCGATTCATTTTTCTTCKTCTTGTTGATTCGAATATCAAAAATCTAAAATCTGAGTCAAGCTGTCCCAAACGAGATAGGTAAGGTTATCGATTTTGAAGTAATTCAAACACCAAATCAATATTGCACCTGCCCATTTCTTCAAAACAGGAAGTCTTCGAGATTTCTTCAAAGCGTGACAAAATAAATTTCTTTGCTTTCTCGCGAAGGGCAATAGCTGAATGCAAGTCAGCCGCGTGGAAGATCGTAGCAGCATTCTCGACATTGATTGACTGCAACATTCGTTTCTCGCACATAGTTTTGAGTCTCGGAATACAAAAAAGATCCGCTGCTTCGAAAAGCTCCATGGCACTATCGAGGTGTATGCGWATCTTATCCGTATAGAGATATTCCAAAATCATCAAGAACGTTGGATGCGAAACCTGCTCTATATGAATCGTTTCCATTTTCGATTCTTTCATATCACCAAGAATTAGTGCTTGGAAGTAAGAGCACCGCATCAAAAATAATTTATGCGCAAACACTGGTGTCCCTTCCACAATAAAAGTTACATCTGAAAACGTGTCGTTATCAACAAGCGCACGGAATTCCGATACCAGTGTGGATTCCGGTACCTCAAAACTAAGATCATGCACGGTGAAATCGAACCGAACAAAGTCATTAAGCCGTTCCGTGCCGTTATACCCCCCGAAGATGAATAATGCTGCTCCAAATTTAAATTTTGAGCATAAAGGAACAGGAAGAATCATGAATTTAGATGTGTCACACACCAATTAGAGAGTRCAGCAAACAACTCCACAAAAGACCTTACCTTCGTTGTACACTACTCCTACGTGGCAAAATCTAGAAAGCGGTTCGTCTGGTCCGGTACTTTTGATCTGACGCCTGCAGTAAATRGAAAGTCATCAGAATACGACAGATTGATATTATCATTGATAAGCCTCTTAGACATTCAAAACAATAGACAAATTTTTCCACTACACTCACCACCTRGCAGGATGGGACAYATTTGTAGGAAGGTGAAGTTCATAAAGATCGTTCAATGCATTGCCACTAGATCCTCCAAAGATATACATGCAGTTTGAGTGAGAGATTGCAATGTGAGAATCACGTGGGACTACACTCCCTTCKGTGACCAAGGGCGACCAAACACGATTTTCAATATCAAAGATATGAGTATCCGACAAATGCCTGGTGCCATCATGACCTCCCATCAAAATTATGTGATTCCTGTGGACTACTGTTGTAGCTCTATATCTAGCACGTGGMCGCCTCCCGGTTGTAGGAACGAGGTTCCATTGACCGGAAACAAAATCAAATTCGTGCAAATCAGATTCTAAAGAAAACATGAATGCATTAGAAGGCAGTCGTGGTCCCGTTAATGCAGTGCCATAATATGAAGGCAAACAAAAGAATGTTCCACAAATGACTTACTGTAGCTTCCATCATAACCACCAAAGATATATAGAGAATGGCCGTGCACTACTGCCGAATGAGAATGTCGCGGGGACGGCGCCCTCCCTCCTAGAATAAGTACCTCCCTCCAGCACATCGAGCTGAAATCGAAAAGCCAAAAGTCGCCCACCCTGCTCGTTCCATCAAAGCCGCCGTGAACATAAAAACTATTTCCAAAGGCAACGGCTACGTGCCTATCCCGCGGGCTCGGTGGCCCTGCCGAATTTGCAGAGGGAAGAACGGGGCTCCACCTYTTCTCTGCGAAAGAAAATGCATGAAAAGTGTTGACACGAGCGACACCATTGTACCCTCCAAAACAGTAGAAGACATCGTTCAAAACAGCTGCAGCATGTAAGCTTCTCGGCGCGGGTGGTGTTCCGTCTACCACTTCCGCCACTGACCACCCACTAAGATTTTCACTGTCCTCAGTACTATAATGACTGTCTTCGTCAGAATGTGCAGTTGAGTTTTCGTTGTAGACCCTGACTTCGGGTTGATTCTGTCGGGRAAAACTACTGGAGCGGAGGTTCCTACCTACGCTTAGATTGGCGAGTGCGACGGACACTTCTGTATTGTTGKTGCTGGCGGTCCTGCTGTTGTCAATATTCTCATTCCTATTGACACTGCTGGAATTTCTGACACTGTTGGCATTTGCATTCATTCGGAGCGTATGTTGACGCAACGCCGCTTGGCGCGGTGGCAATTGAGCACGGTCTGCGTTTTCTTCGCCGGCATCTGCCATTTTGAATTCGTCCGTCAGCGACGCAACAGATGCTTCTTTTCTTCCGGAAAAGTCGTCCAAAGGCAAAATGGAAATGCCTCTCTAAAATATCTATGGTACTATTCGAGATTCCAACTGACTTTAGCCGCTGTWACCGATTGCTTTGAATTTATTTTATCGAAAGAAATTCTAAATCATTTAAGCTCTTGATGTCTTGATGTGATTTGTTCCAATGTGATGCATTTTTGTCGAAACAGGTAAGAGTAACAATACGTACTGAACTTCAATAAACGTCGTACAGTACGTACCACCTATTCGTAACGTACTTTCGATATAAGTGCGTTAACAGTAAAAAGCCTACTATGCCCTACATAGCAAAAAGGCATTCTACTCAAACCCCAAAATTATTTCTAGTGAAATCACAGTTAATTTTGAAGCCCAGTATTCAGTACTGATCCTACATAGATCTACGAGTTCTTGGTCACTTTTTGACCACAAACAGTATTTATGAGGCCATTAAAAGTGCTCAACAACTGGCTAAAATGAGATCCCCTTTGGGGATATGATGCTCATTCATAGTGCTAAGAAGAGTGCTGTGTGTCATTGTTACTACACGATTACTACTACTACTACTACTACTAGCCTAGTAGTGATGGGTCGTCAGGTAATACTAGTAGGAATGGAGATAAATCTACCACATTGGACTTGATCATATTCGTTAAATAAAACATTACCATTCATGCAAGACTGCATAGTAAACTTTTCCATGAATGTAACAACTGAGGAGTGATTGCTTGATTCTAGGTGTAATTTTATTGTGAGTTCTTATCTGGTACTATTTACATGACTATGGAAGTATCTCTTTGTGAGCGTTGTTCAAACCTTACAGTAGTACTTGTTGTACATACTCATATGTATTCGGAAGTTAGTGTGACTACTGCCCGTTGCAGAAACGTTAAATTAAGGTTCTTGCAGTTCTGTATCATGTTAGCGCTAATGTTTCAAATGTAAAGTTAACATTCCGTACGTTAAGTATGTAGTAGGCCAAAGTAGGATAACTACTAGTAGCCCTGGTGGTGGCACACCAGCAGGCCAGCAGCTGGTGATCCAGCAGCTGCTCAGAGAGGACCACCAAGATCAGTTTTGGGAGGACTGTAGTACAAAACTCTGTAGAAAATGCTGTACAAAATTGTGGATCAAGGTAGTAGTTGACTGCTCATTTTGGTCAAAATGGAAGGGTTGTTCAAAAATGTGCTGTGGCCTACTGTGGYCTGCCTAAAAACTTCCCTCCAGCTGTTCTTTTCATTCAATCAAAAAAACTTTGTTCAAAGAAACCAACCATGGGAATCAGCTCTATTTGCAGCACTTCCACTCACTCTTAGACAATGTACTTGGTATCAATTAATAGCTCTCTTCCATTCTCGATTTAACAAGCCTTGATCTGTGGCMAARRACCCAGTAGAAGTATTGTTTTGGTGTGTTCAGTGTAGCTTCTTTTTTTACGACAAGAGCTTCTTCCAACATWGGCAACAACATGAGCAGGAAGGATCCAGTGGATGAGGTTGCTAAGCTCTGAGCAGACCATGGCCTAACTAGACTAACACAACAAGAAAGAGCTGAGAGGCCTCACCCTGGAAAGGGAGGGAGTAGAGGCTATCCTATCTTTGTAAGATAGTTGGAACTGGAAAGGAAAGAAGCTGGTCTTCCTCCTGCTTTTGCTAGCAAGTCTTCAGTCGGTAGATGGGCAAACAGTAGGGCCAAGTGCCAAAGGATGACTGGAAACAATAGCCAGACCAAACTAGTGTCTTGGGATCTCTTTGACATGGTTCTATTCATGTGGATCTATCCAATTGTAAGCTATGATGAAGTTGCAACTTTTGTCTACAACAGATCTTGCAACATATACTATAGATCACAGATCAGTAGGAGATTGGCGAATGGTTTAGATATGACACAGAAGGTCCCCTCTACAGAAGCCTATCAAGCCTTTACTCCTGAGAGTATCTGGAGGGCTGAGACCTTCTGGAATGATCCTCTTCCTTGTGGAGTAGTTAGTATTCCAAGGAGGAAGTTCATTGATGACCGATTCAACTACAGTTGAGACATACTCAAGAGGAATGGATCCAACGCAAGATCCTTCCCTTCTACAACAGTACTATTTATATACACTTTATCTTTAGTAAGAATAATATCTACCAAGATTACTTGCAATAGACTCAAGCAATACCCCAAGGACTGRCTCGCTGGTCCATTGAGTCAGCCTGGGCCTACAGTTTAATAAACTCAGCATGCAGGCTTAGAATCCACATTGCTTCTCGTTATGGTGTTTCATACCTACTAATTGCACTAGGGGAACTGCTGCTCTCACTTCCACTACCACTACCAAAGCTTCTCATACTACTATCATCACTACTCTTCATCTTCRTATGAGSCTTGCATTTGCGTTTGCRATCCTCCTCCTGCTTCTTCAAAAACTTAGCTTGGCTCTGCTCAAATATCTCCTTTGATCTTCTATTCATTGCTGCTTCCTTTGCTGCTATATTTGCTTCCTTTGYTGCTTTCTTTTCTTCCTTTGTTGGTGGTATCTTTGCTATTCTSCTTGTTACTCCTTTTGGTTTCTTCTTTGCTACACCTGGAGGAGGCTTCTTCCACCCTGTGCCTGGAGGACGCTGTAGCCCTGCACCTGGAGGAGCTTCTTCCTTGCTAAGACTGGSGAAGGCTTCCTTAATACAATAACAGATGTCTCAGCACCAGCTAATTGCCAACTAGGCAAACGAGCGTCCAGTATCAATTCAGCTACTGCTACTGGCATCCAAGCAGCTTGYATTCTAGTAGCACTGGCAGCATGCCTCTTCAAAGTTTTAATCAAGCCCTCAATGGTTTCCAATACCTCACCATCAAAGAGATGCCTAAAATCCACTATCCAAGTCATCGGTTGTTGAACAGCCTGCTGCAGATCACCACCAGAGGAAGAGAGCAAGCTGTTAATGCAATCCAAAGCAGAACAAGTGGTAGGGGTGTCTTTCACACCACCAAGAGTCAAACGCAAGAGGGTTTTTGTCTCAGCTGTACATGAAAGGGAACGGTCTCTTCATCATCAGCTGCTTGGGGTCTTAAGTCGCTAGTATAGGGAGTACATCAAGGATGGATATTTCTTGTGCCAACAGGAGTATAATCCTCCTTGCTACTGCTACTATCAGCAATATCAATGGCATCCTGTCCAGCAGCAGCTCTTAGCTTAAAGGCAAGAGGAGCATGCTTTGCTGGCAACCTAGCAAGACCCMTGTCACCCCTAAGATCATTCCTGTGRCATCTATCACCACTGTAGTTTTGATTGCTGTAGTGCCTTGCATTCCTCCTATCACTACTAGCAGAAAAAGAGACTGGATGGGGCCCTTGAAAATGGACGCACTACTGCTGCTGCAACTGCTGCTGTTGCTGCTGAACAGATGCCCCCATCCTCCTCCTATTGGGGGCATCCCCAAACCTGATCTGATGAATAGACAGACCATGGGTCTTTGTACTAGTTAGTCCCCTTGGAACCTGCTTTTGTACAGCATTTATAAACCCAAGATTAGACTGAAAGTGAATGTCCTTCTTCAAATGATCAGCAGCATATCCAATGGCGCTCTGGTTGAGCTTCTCAGTATCCAGTGGATGACATCCCTCCCTTGCTGCATCCAAAGCCCCCTGAAAGAGATGGTGGGAAACAATGTTGTTTAATTGCTCTAAAGGATTGACTGCATAGTCATCCYRTGGCAATGGTCCATTTGCCTCACTCTTTTTATTCATTCGACACTTCTACCTCTGACTGGCATAGTAATAGATCTTGCAGCTACAGTTRCAAAGAGGACAGTGGCAAGCCACTGGCAAGCCATCATCATACTCTATATAGTCAGCGCCAGGCTTGCTGCATTCTGGATACTAGTTCCCCCCAGCTATATCCATTTTGCAAGAGAACTGGCARCAGTAGCAAGCCACCCTCACATCCATTTGATCATTATTCTTTGGATGMCCTCTTGGGTTRCTGTTGACAGCATCATGAGCAGCAACAGCCTCCTCRTGCTTCTTCCTCTGCCTTTCATTGCACTCCTCAATCTCMCTCAAGTTGTCAACTSACATAATAGAGTAGTATTTGCAAACAAGACAGGGATATTGATCAAGCAGTRTTGGATCAAACTCACAATTATCCTGTATCYTGGGCCCTCTCTCCTGGTAATAGATCTTGCATTTGTTCTTCCTTTGGTAGCGTTACACTGTTCACTTTCATCTTGATCCTTCATTGAMTTCTTTACTGCCTTTGCAGCTATCTCAAGCACAGCTACAGCTGCAGCTGTCCTCCTGCTTCCTCTTTTTTGTTGGTYGCTCCTCCCCTTCCTGATMTCCATTGCTGTAAAGAAGAGGGYAAGCACTGTAGCTGTGTAGGCCTGATTCCATTCAATCCTCCTCTTGAAATGAGTGTTCACTGTTGTGCTTATATTGCTGTGATACACTCTCTGCATCTCTAGGGACAAGRGGTTGCTGTTCCCCTCAGGAAAGACAGCTTTGATGAGATCATGGCTGAGCTTCTCCCTAATTCTAAGCAGCAAAGCTCTCTTTTGTTTTAGTGGAAGATTCTTCCTCCTGGTCAGTGCACCCTGTGTTGTCTTGAACAAAGGATGGGATGCAGCCGGTGTTGTTTCTGGAGGAGCTGCTGCTGCTGCTGCTGCTGCTGGTGGTGGTGGTGGCGCTGGTGCTGGCACAGCTGGAGGAGGAGCAGTAGCAACAGGAACAACAGCTTCCTCCTGATCCAAATCAGAATCATCTGAGAGTAATCCATCAGCATGTCCTCCTAGAGCTGTCCTTAGCTTCATGAGACCATCTCTGGCTTCTCACTCTTGTGTGTTCATTGTAWAAGGGGGGAGGAGCTGATTGCCMACATTGGAAGCAAGCAAGTTGTTGTTGTAAAAAAAAGAGTTACTACTGTAACACACTAGTAAAACAGTACTTCTGCTGGGTCCTTTGCTATGGTTCAAGGCTTGTTAAATTGACAATTGAAGAGAGCTATCCAGTGATATCAAGTACAGCAGTGTCTGAGGATGAGTGGAAGTGCTCTAAAAGCAGATTCCCATGGCCACCAGTTGCTTCCCACCGTCGTGTTTTTGAATGAATGAAAAGAACAGATTTAGATAAGCAGCATGCTTGAGGGAAGTTTTAGGTGGTCCACGACAGTACTAGGACACAGTACTAGGATTTTGTAGTACCTGCAAACAAAACCCTTCCATGTTGACCAAAATCTAGTACAGTCTACCCCCTTGATCCACAATTTTCTAYGAGGCTCCTGGTACTGAATCCTACAAGAGACCATCCCAAGGAAGTGATCTTGGAAGCTGCTGACCAGCTGGATCAGCAGCTGCTGGGCTGCCACCAGGTATAGTACAAATCCTATGTAGGCCTACATACTTCACGTACGGAATGTTAGCCCAACATTCGGTATGCTACGGTAGCACTAGTAACAATCTGAATCTTTGCGCTAGTAGTATCATACGGAACGTTAATTTAACGTTCCCAATCCCGCGTGAAACGTAGTTTCAATTGATCCGCAAGGCGTAGTAATAACTACGGTACGAGCACGTACCAGTAATTTAGAGATCAACAATACGATGCTTCGAGATATTTTGATGTCATCAGTCCACCCATTTGCAATCAATGTATCCCATTGGAACGCAAAAAGAAACCTACTGCTCAATACGAGGATTTCTGGATACAATTATTCCGCAAACTGCATCTTCGGTTTATTTCTCTCGAGGTGAAGTCTGCCACTTGAGCGAGAGTTGCTTCAGTGTCAATAAAAACCAATAAAATCAACCCTACTTCTGAGGAAGGGAAGTTGATATTAGATTTATAAAAATCTGCTTCCATTGCAGGGTATGAAAACTTGCCATCATCTTACCATACACATCTACTAGGTAAAAACACTAGAGTTGCTCATTCGCAGAAAACAAATAATGAAGTTGCTATCTATTCGGCTTTCTCTTCGCTCGATTTCGCACGCTCGATTTCGTCTTCGGCGAGCGCCTTCTGACTAGCTTCTATGSCAGCAACAACTTTGGCCAGTTCGGGTTTCTTCCCAACAACAACAACGGTTGCTACCGACTTTGCTTCTTTGGGCTGATATCCAAGATCAAACACACTGACACCGTCTTCTGGTGCTATTGGCACCTCGATCTCTTCAATCGAGTAACCAGAGAATTCTTCGGCGTGCCCCTCCAAAACAAAACAGGTGATAGGCATGGAATCCGGTGGAGACTTTTTTGGACATCGATCCAGGTAGGCCAATAGACTCGGGGCCAGGGCACTTGAATTCGAAATAACGCGGACACCGGCATGTGTTCCGGGGACGTGACCCTCTGGGCAAAACAAATTGTCCGACAGCGACAATTGATCTCTCGCCTCCTGACAAAATTGGTCAAAGCTTTCAAACGACAAGGCTTCGGTTCCAGCTTCGGCGATGGCCTTGCCCTTTACCTTTAGCGGATTTGTCTTCGGAAGGGCCAGACCGGCTACCTTGAGATCCAATGGTTTGTTGATTCGGAACGCGGATCGTTTAAGAGGGGTGACTCCATCTCCATTCAGAGCCCAGTTGAATTCGTAACTCATTCCGGGGTATTCATTGGGGAAGGCTGAGGTCTTGCCTACACGCTTCACGCTGTCGGGAACTCCTCCTTCCCATGCCGGAGCAACCGAAGCTAGGTGGCATATCGCCCGWGCATTGCATGGCAAACAAAACAAATAAAAGAATAAAGTAAATTGGAATAGTCAATTAGGAGTAAGAATTGCTGCTGCTTCCGTTTGTTCGTGGTGTGCAATAAACATCCACAGAGATGAATTTGCGATCGACGACACATGCCTCAAGTAATTGAAGCGATGACTCGAAGCAGATAGAAGCATGAATGAAAGGGAGCAACCCGCAACGATCAAATTTATCTCCCATAGCTAGAGCCATAACAGATCGCATAATCTACAAAATGRTCCRTCATTGATCCCACCGGACTTACAAAGCGCACGGACCACTGTTGTTCCGACAACTTTCTTCGAGTTGGTCGTGAGTGCGGCTTTGGAAAAAAAAGACACAAAAACCATGTTGAACGGCACAGAAGTTTGTTATTAAACTAGAAGGTTTCGTTGTTATCACGTTGATTGTGTATGAAGCGTCGATTGGTCCTTTGAAAMGCTTCTGTCCAACTGCTCCTCAGCTTAATTCTGCACTTCAATGATTGTTGATGCTCTCYTGAAGTCCTTCTTGTTGTTTGCTGTCCCAGGGTCAATCCATCGGCAAGTACTGGCTGGTGGTACGTAGGTAATGTACGCTACATTATTGAACAGAGTCGTATCGTACAACCTGCCGTACGGTATTGTGCGGGTTTTTTGGCTGTTGCTTCGAAATGGATAGACGTATTGCCTGTCCCGTACGAAGTACTGGTACGATGCAGGATGCAGTAGAAGTAGAACTCGTATGGTACCGTACCGTACATCCTCTTTCGAGTGCTTGAAACTAGGAACGTACGTACGAGTGTGGAAGTAGGTACGTATGATTACGAAGTACGAACCTACCTTTCTTTTCGGATTTCAGACTTCAGACTTCAGACAGAAAACAAGAAGCAAGCGGTATGAGCAAGGGTACGAACGTACATACGTACCCTTTGTACATAGGAAAATAATAAGTTTACCGTCCTCCATCCTTACAGGGTACCAGTACGTACTTGTTTGAGTTCGAATTAAGACTATTGATTTCCAACAGGTTGTGAGTATATAAAGCGCCCAAATTTTTTGCTATCTTTGCTTGTTCTTTGTTACTAACACTAGCAAAAGCACCAATCAGAATAAGAGAATCCATCGGTGGGAAAGGGTTTTCTCTTGTCTTTTGATACATGTGCACATTGCTGTATGGGTTTCTTGCCAGAGAACCTTTTCTGACTTGTTGATTTCTCTGTGCACCAAAAATGCAAAAAAACTCATTAACACAATCTCCAGCATAGCAAGCTGTCACCTAATTAGTTCTTAATCAATATCCAATCAATTGCGTTCACGAGACAAGTGTTCTTATCCTTACATTAAGGGGAACAGGATCCAGAAGTTGCAGATTGATTGCCTGAGTTGTTTGGAGGAAACAGTAGCATCCTCCGTATCAGTAGCACCAGCCTCTGTATCAGCGTCCTCC